TGTTAACATCTTACACTATATTTCTTTTACTTGAATTTTATATGCTTTGGTTGAGATTTTATGTTGATGTTAAATCTTTTAAGCTTTTTTTGTTAGACTTGATTCTAGAGTGCATATTTTGTGTCCATGAAAAAAGCCATTAAAGAAAATATTACAATACTGAAGAACTGTTCTTCTTAATTCGATGAAAACAATTTAAATTTCCAGTGCACTCACATCAGAATAACATATAGATTTGTTGTTAGAATAATACATTAATCGAAAAAATAATTGTTAGATTAATCGATTAGAAAATAATTGTTTGGTACAGCACTAGCCAAACGATCCACCAGTTGACAGGCATTGCTCAGAGTGTTGACACATTTGTCATTCAACCATTTTACTGCAATTACCCCTTCAGCAGAGCTGTTATCTTAGGCTCCACAGCCCTATTTTCCTTAGTTCAAAGACTGCCATCAAAGGATGTTCACCAATGTAGTTTGGTCATACGATACCAATGCACTAAACACACAAAGATGCATGCAAGTTCTGCACCAAGATGAAACTTGTAATCACAAAAAACAACATACAACTAAAGATTTTTTTTGGTTAAGAAAATTTTCACCAATTTAGCTCCAAGAAGTGGCTTTTTTCGATTCACTGAGGGCAACATTGATGCATGTGGATACYCGTTGGGACAGTGGCAAATCACAAWAAAAATTCTCAATGAATTTTCTTGACAAAATRTAGTGATATAAGTACACCAGTATTATTTAGGGTTATTGGGTATATTATGATTTCTACTTTTTTTTCCTGGATTTTACTCATAGTAACCAAGATCAACTTATAAATCAACAATAGTAAAGTGTAGGAAAACACCTTCAGCATATTCACAATAAACTAACACTTAATGTGTTATATTCAAATAAATAAATAAACTAGGGGGTTTGAATAATTTTATTTTATGGGAAATAGTCATCTTTAATTTGATTGGTGTGAATGTTTTACCCTTACCATGAATGGACAAATCAACCATTTGGTAGAGCACATTTTCAAAATTTTTTAAAAAAAAAGTTTAGTTTTGAGCAGCATCAACGGTCATATTTCTGTTTATTAATGTCTTTATTATCAAAATATGTAAAAAAGTATACATTTCTTTCAAAGTTTTTCCAAAAACTGTCATGATGTCATGTTAAATTTCCTTGTTCTTGACTTCCTAGTTGGAGGAGGTAAATACTAATTAACCATTTCCTGTCACAGTGCCTTCTGGTGGATGTTTTTAGCATTACATACTAAAACCAATTGGTAGAGATGTCTCAGTCAGTTTCAGTTTGATTAAACACTCCCTTCTTTGAATTTCATCAGCTCAAAATATGGTCATCCGTTTGGCTGACCAGGACCTTACAGCATTCCTGCAGATCTGCTGTAATTTAACTTAAAGTTGAACTGACTTTTGCTCAATCTAAACCGTTTGCCTCATGTTTATGTAAAAACATTTGTACAAAACCCCAAAACAGTGAAAATATAAAACTCAAACTTTCCCCTGAAATCAAATTATTCCTTCTTCTTAGATTAGGAACTGTGATATAAAATATTTTTCTGTAATAAGACGCTATATTGTGTTGATGTCATATTGAAGAATCACAACACGTACAGCTGACAACTCTTTGTTCTTCCACTTCAMCTCTGACTCTGTGTTTGAGTCATTAATGTAGTTGTGCAGTGTGATGTTTTCCTCCTCCTTTTCTTCTTCTCACTCTTTAAGCTCCAGTGAGTTGATGGCTTGGAGCTCAGTAGAGAACTTTTCTCTGAGGTCTTTGTTGGCCTGCAGAAAGCCCTGCAGCCTCTTCAGCTGCTGCGTATCCTGAGGAACACACCGACAGTCAGGGGGAGATTTCACCTCATGGATTTTAATCTGCTGGGTTTAAACTCAAGCTCCTCCTACCTGATCCTTTGCATCGACGTGGTCCTCTGCAGCAACATGCAGACACTCCTGCAACATCTCTTGTAGCAGCTCAGTTTCCCATTGGCTAAGTAACTCAGCGGTGGCCTCCACCTGACTGACACTGTCGGACTCTAATCCAGGTAACAAGTCAGCAGAGTCCATTTGGTCCGCAGCCAAGACGCTAATGGACAAATCAACGGTCAGCATCTGCACAGAAATAAAGAGTTACCTGACAAAGCATGCCTCACAGCTAAGTGTCCAACAGTGGACACGACACTGAGGCTGCAGAGGGACGTAAACGAGCTCACGGCTTCTACTTGTTGTGCCACAGAAGCCATGTTGGGAACGTGATGGAGCTGCTGCATGAAGAGCTGCAGAGCCATGAAGTACTGCTGCATCCATTCATCCTTCACCTGGAAGTCACAGGAGTGCATCAACTCATTCCTGTACTGGATCACCTGGAGGAACACACACACACACACACACACACACACACACACACACACACACACACACACACACACAGGTATATTTTCACAGTCTGCATGTAGCCTCTGACATGTGTCTTTTAGTTTCATCAAGAACCGATGTCCTGAGAAGGGAAGACATAAAGCAACACAAAAGGTCAGCCTTTAAGACTAATTTACCTGTCTTACTACCTTTGACTCCACAGAGCAGAAACATTTACAGGAGTTGATGAGGTTGAGCAGAGCAGATGGATCACACTGATCAGCTGCCTTCACTTTGGTCTGACCCCGGGGCATGTAGGCCTGAAGGAAAGACAGGAAACCTTATTCCCTCTGTGTGTCACTGCTCTTTGCTCCATCAGATTCACGTGAACCTTCACACCATGAGGCCTAATTATACAGCTAAATTCAAAAACCTGCAACTGTGTCAATTTAAATACCTTTTTTTTTTGTTAAAATCACATGAATACTGTGTTGGAAGTTTTTTCCCCAGAATTATTCTAAATAGGGCATGATCTTTTCCAGATATTTTAAATGAAGAAATAGAATTGAAAACTGTACTTTATTATTGTTATAAAATAAAATGTCCTGTTTATTATTAGAAATGATAAAGTCTTAAATAATCATGTCCTGATGCATCTCAGTAAYCCAGGTAAAAAATCACAAAGAAAAAAATTGTATAGGTCCTCTGGACGGGTTCTTCTCTAATGAAACATTTTGTCTCTCTTCCAAGAGACTTCTTCAGTCTGAGAGTTTCAGGCAAAATTCAGGCTTTTAAGCCCTGCCTCCATGTGACTGATACTCACATCACATGGCTATCGTTGACACCTAATTAACACGCAGCCACTGTTCAAAAGAATGTCCCAACACAGACGAGCTACATCTAAT